GTGTGTGTGTGTGTGTGTGTGTGTGTGTGTGTGTGTGTGTGTGAGAGAGACAGACAGAGAGAGAGAGAGAGAGAGAGAGAGACTACCCTCACAGAGTTTATATTCCATTGGTACAGGATGAGAGAGAGAAAGCCCTCTTTCGGCCCCAGGGTCCTGATCCGGAGGCAAGCCCATAGTCCAGCAGATAGACCTACAATACACGTACGAACTAAATAAATAAACGAATGGAAGGAGAGATGGGTGGATGGATGGCTATCTGGCTGGCTGGCTGGATGGATTTATTTGGGAAGTAGACCCTTCTGGTAGAATTTGCATACCTGAATTTTATGAGCTGTAATCTCTGTTGGAAGGGGGGAAAGGGAAGCAAGAAGGAAAAAAGATATTGATTTCTTTCTATTCCTATTTTCGGGATTTCCCTCCTTCCTGCAGTGAAACTGATCTCGAATTCTTCCCAGACCAGTGGTCACATCTGAGAGATTCAGCCGCTAGGCAGGCGCTGTCTGTCACTGGCTGTCTGTCTCGGTCTTCCTTATCGCTTGTATATATTATTTGTATATAGTAACGTTAATGAGTAACCTTCGTGGCGCTGGCGGACAGGGGTAAACAGCTAGCAATCTCTCTGGATTAGCCTGCCGATTACTCACCTGGCGCCTCTCTCAATCTACCGGGTAGGTTTATGGCCCTGGCGGCCTGGTGCCGGCAAAAGGCCCCTTTCTCCGGGCTTGGAGTGCCACCTATCTGTCCGTCCAGCAAACACTCCCAGTTAGAGCCCTGGTCGCCTAGCATCTCTGCTTCCCTCAGCTCTGGAACTTTGCCACTCCTAGCCCTCTAGTCTTCTCCCTTTCCTCTTCTCCCTTCAATTTCCACTTGCCTTCTCCCCAGCCTGCTGGGACCTGGTGGCCAGAGTGTGCTCAAAAGCAAGGGAGTTAAAGGCCTCTGGCATCTGGCGAGAATCAGGTCTAGCTTGAGGATGGGCAAATCTTTTGGTGTGCGTGTGTGTGTTTGTAGGGTTCCTGATACCCCATCTGGAAAAAAAATCAGGATCCTGGCAGTTTCTGCTCAAGGCATCACCCGCTTCCCAGAACTCTCCATCTCCCGTATTCACACCCCAGTCCATAACCAGGAGGCAGGCTCCAGATGATCTAGGCTTTATCTGGATCAGCCTCCACACACATCCTTTTCTGGACTCTTCTCAATTTCCCCACCCTCCCATGGTGGGGACACTTCAGCCTTTTTTCTTTCAGTGGTTTGGTAGCTATGTTCTCCTCTGTCCTGGCCTGAAGTGAACAAGTCTTGGACAACATGGAATGGAAAAATTGAAGCCCACTCCCACACACCTCTTTGCCTTTGTCGTGTTGCCCCTGCCAGAGTAACACTGAAATCACAGAACAGAATTTCTTAAAGACCTGGAGAACCAAGACTCTGCCTCCAGTGCCTAATAAAAACAGTCCTGCATCTCTTAGTCACTTGGTGTTGGAGGCCCAGTACCCTGATTTAAGCTTTACTGTGTAGGAAAGAGCAGAGCCACCAGGCATTGTGCCACCCTGA